GCCAGACACATGTGCATGCATGCCCAAAGATCTAGGAACCCAATAAAGGAGAAGGGATTGCAGTATGGCCACCCTTCCAGGGCAGGGGGTGATTTCTCATTTTCCCTCTCTCTATTTCTCTCTATTTGCTCTTGTTGTACCCTATGACAAAAAAACTTAAAAAAAAAAAAGACAACAGATCTGGATAGATTTCAATGAATGGTAAATTTTAATGCTTTATAAATCACTCCAAAGCATAGAGAGACAGAAAAAGTTTTAACTCATTAAGTGAGTCTAGTATCTAAGGCCATATTAGAATGGCATTGAGGCCCAGCCAGTGGCATGGTTTGGGGGCAGCTGGATTCCACATGGCCAGCTGTATGATTCATGCCCTAGACCCAGAGGCTTGAAAAACACATTAGGTGCAGGTGTATGCATGCCCCAAAATCTCAACAAGATAATGAAGGAGAAAGAATGGAAATGTAGCCATCACTTCTGGTGGGTGATTTCTCACTTTCCCTCTCTCTCGTTCACTCTGTCTCTCCAGAGAGCATATATACCATATAACAAATTAAGAAAAAATAAATAGAACTGAAAGAAAACGCATAGATCAAAACTCACTTTAAAAAGTAAGCATAAAAGCCTTAGGTTAATTATAAGAAAATAGAATACAAGATATCAAAGTCTAAAACATGAAGTAGATTTTATCCCAGGAATGAAAAAAAAACACTTAACATTAGAGAAATTCTAATTGCAATTACAAAGAAAAACCAAATGTATTTCCCTAGAAAGATTATAAATGATTATAAAACCAGCAGATTGTGTAATGGTTATGTCACTGGACTCCCACGTTATTGACCGTGGTTCGAGTCCTGGACCAGATGGCTTAAAACTCACACCAGGCACATGTCCATGTGTGTCTGAAATCACAAGAGAAGAATGGAAGACAAGGGATTATGGCATGGCCATCCCCCATGGGAAGTGGTTTCTTGCCTTCTGTTTGTTTCTCTAGTGAGTGCATGCACACAACAGCAAAGAAAACTCTCTCAGAAAAAAAAAAAAAGATTCTAAATGCAATCCCCTTGATTTATTAGCACGTCAAAGAAAAACTATATAATTGCTTTGATTAATGCAATTTAAAAATTTAAAAATCCAAACTCACACTCAAATTTTTAAAAATCTAAAGTTTTGAGCAAACTGAGAGGAAAAAAACCACACTTCTTTAGCTTGAAAAATATTATTTACCATAAACCAATAGCAAGCACTGTAGTTTTGCAACATTGGAAACACTCCCAATACAATAAGGCAAGAATTTATGCTATCTGCACAGTGATTCAAAAACAGGTCTTAATAATGCAAAAAATAAGAAAACAAAATAAGGGTTCTAGAATTGGTATTTGTAGACAGCACAGATTATCTACTTAGAAATCCGTAGAGAATCCACTGGAAAGCGGTTATAGCTAACAAGAGAAAGAAACCACTTAAAACTAAGAATCTAAAAAATTGTGATATAGCAGTGACGATCAATCAAAACATTTATAATAACAACACATTTAAGACACTTTGAGAAAACTTGAAAAAGAAATTTGTGGGCTCCCTGTGGTGTGGTGGTTAATTTGGCTAGATCCCACATGGCCATCTACCTGATTTGAGTCTCCGACCAGGCATCTTGAGAAACACACTGGGTATGTGCATGCCCGAAACCCAAAGGCAGGGAGAAATGGAGAGGAAAGGATTGTGTTATGATTATTCCTTATGTGGGGGGTGTTTTCTCACTTCCTCTTTCTCTCTCTCTCTGTTTCTCTCTGGCAAGCTCATGTGCTCTCTAGAAAAAAAAATTGCAAAAATTTTCTTGAGTAAAACCATAAACTGAGCATAAAGAATATCTGAATAAATAAATAAAATACCCATTTATAAAAGGTAAGATTACCATTTATTTAAAGGTTTTTGTCATTGGGCACGTGCACTAGTTAGAGAGAGACAGTGAGAATGAAATTGAGAAAGCACCCACCAGGTGAGATGGCCATGCCACAATCCCTTCTCCTCCATTCTCCTTCTGGGATTTTGGGTGCACACACACACACACACACACACACGAGCACATAGGGGGCATAATTTTCAAGCTGCCAAGTCTGAGACTCCAATCATGGCTAGTCATGTGGAAGTCCAGCTCCCAAACCACCATACCACCTGCTGGTTCCATCACCATCCATCTTTTCTAAGTACATGAAAAAAGACAGTATAATTGAAAAAATGGACACATAGTATTATATGAAAGACAAAAATTATACACAAAAGAAATACAAATATCCCTAAAAACAAATGAAAAGATGATCAGTCTCGCTAGTATTCAGAAAAATGCAAATTCTATACAATTTTCTCTCATAATATTAAAATTTAAAAGAAGACTAAATTTGAGAGATAACATTCAGAATTTTTTTTTTTTAGAGAGGTTTTTGCTATAGGGCACATGTGCTCGCCAGACAGACAGAGAGAGACAGAGAGACAGAAGGCGAGAAATCACCCCCGAGGGGGGATGGCCACGCCGCAATCCCTTCTCCTCCATTCTCCTCTCAGGATCTTGGGCACGCACGCACACGCGCCCAGCGTGAGTTTTAAGCCACCGGGTCCGGGACGTGAACCGCGGTCGACTACATGGGAGTCCAGTGACATAGCCATTACTCTAACTGCTGGTCCTTTTTTTTTTTTTTTTAAAACATTCAGAATTTAAGTAAGTATAGGAAAAGTTAATATTCTCTTCGTGGCAACGTTAATTGGCATGACATTTTTGGAGAACACATTGTAGATATGAGGTGATTAGAGAAAATTTATATATAAATGTAAGTAGTTGTCACACCAATGTTACTTCTGGAGAAGGGATGAAGCATGAGATTGGAGGGAAAAGAAGAAAAATGTTCACTTCATATGAGAGAATCTTCAAAAAGTCCATGAAAATGTGTATAGTTTTCTATCGCTGAATGTTTTAGAGTACTAATAGACTCATCTATTACTTATTTATTTTTTAAAAAATCATTGGCTTTAATTATAATGGATCACAGAAACAGAAACATATATTCCAATCTTGAAACTCAAATGTATTCATTAGAGTGCACTTTCATGTCAAACGAGGACATGTCACCCTAGAATATATAGCTTACATTCCAAATCATTAAAATGTAGTCTCAATTATAAGAAGCCAACACAGGACATGGCTTGCTCACAATCTCTCTGCTGCTACTAAAACTTTTGTAAACATCATTTTCTTTCATTTTTAATAAACACAAATTCTACTTCTCTGTTGTATCCCAGCGAATTCTTGGTTGTTTTCACAGCATATGCCTCACTAAATCAGACTTCAGTTCTAATTACATTTGCTTTACAGCTGCTACAATTCTTTAGGGCTTTTAGGCTTATGGGGATATAGTAAATATATAATTTTATGATGTCAAATTCAAGAGGGAGGTGAGAAATATTGGATTTGAGCAAGATAGTGAACTGTTTCTAAGCAAATTAAGAAAACTACAATCTATTATTCCAAGTTTTAATAAGCAAATTAAGAAGACTCTGCTGTCCATCCATTATGCTTACTTGTCAAAACCCCAAACTAGATTCAATTTTATGGTTTGCCTGCTCCTTGCCTATATCTATACTGCCAACCTCTGCTGCAGAAAATTACAGAATCATTATGACAAGTGCCATTAAAAATAGTCAGCAGCTCCATCTGGGTCCTCAAAACTCTGATTATCTTCTTTCCTTTCCAAACTTCATTCTCTCCAAACTCAAACCCCTGTGAGTTGGCTTGCCTTCTGCTTCATTGAGAAATTAGAAATTAGAAATATCACAGTGGATATTTATGTTTCCCACTGGGAAACCTATATAGCTATACTTTTTCCATTCTGCATTGTAAAAGTCATTCCTCTTACAGTCTAAGATTACTAGAGTCCACAGTGATGTGCAGCTCCTACTACCTTCATAGGGACTTCGTGCTATTGATAAATTCCTCTTTCCTCCCATTTCTACTTTTTTCTTTCTATTGACTCCTCTCACCCATTATTACTTAAATATACTTAAGTCTGTTCTTTCTAATAAAAATGAAGCACTTTGTCAAACCCAAACTGCCTCTAGCTTCCATGTTCTTATTTTCATAGTCACAATTCTGAAAAAAGTATTGTCCCTTTTATATAATGGAACTATTTTTAAGCTATTAATGTCAAAGGGTTACTAATAATATTTCACACTTCTCTTTATTCTCATTTAAGCTGGCAATTTCCTCAAGAAATTGGTAGACCAGAGAAGAATTAGAATGTGCCTTTGAGGGCCAGCCCTGTAGTGTCACAGCAAAATGTGGTACGAGGGAGTTCGAGTCCACATGGCTAACCCTGGCTCTGGTGGCTTGATCAAAGAATGCCAGGCACATGTTTGTGCCCAGGATCTTAATGGGATAAAGAAATAGAGGAGAAAAGAACTGCAGTACGACTAGGCCCCATTTGCAAGTTCTCTCTTTCTCCTTGTCCTACACACACAAGCTCTCTGGCATTAAAAATAAATTAATTAAATAACACAAATTAAAATAGAATATACCTTTGAGTCTTCTTTTAATTCCATTGTAAAAAATATGCTTGATCGTAGACAGGATAAATGGGAACAGATAAAAGAATTACTATGCTTGCCCTGTTGAAAGATGCCCTTGGCAGGACCAGCAGTTGGCATAATGGCTATCTCACTGGACTCGCATGTAGTTCAAGTCCCAGACCCGGTGGCTTAAACTCACACTGGGCACGTGTGCATGTGTGTCCAAGATCCCAAGAAGAGAATGGAGGAAAAGTGATTGCGGCATGGCCATCCTCCCTGAGGTGGAGGTGGGGGTGATTTCTTGCTTTCTGTCTCTCTGTCTCTCTCTGTCTTTCTGGCGAGCACAGGCACTCAATAGAAAAAAAAAAAAACTCTCAAAAAAAAAATGCCTTTGGCAGTGTGGCCCTGCAGCCAGACAGGGTAACCTCACGGGTGCAGATGCCATTGCGATGCTGAATAGGTTTCTGGGCCCCTGCTACCCGCAGCTGGCCAAGAACAGGATCACCACAGTTGGCATGTGGGGTGCTGTGGGCACCATGGGGGCTGGTTTGGCCCACTGACTGGCAGCTGATCCTGGACTGGGTCCCCTACATCAACAGCAAGTTTAAGGACAACTGAGCAGCTGTCTACCATGCCTCTGGTATGCCAGCACCATATCTGAGTCTCAGGATGGACCCCAGGACATCTCCAAGCACAACTACAGACTGCTATGTTCCTGGAAAGGGCCTCGAGGTTTCCTGGCGTTTGCGTTAAACTCACCTGTGCACCTGGGAAAAAAAAAAAAAAAGAAAAAGAAAAAGGAAAAAACCCAAAAAGCAAAAAACAAACAAACCAAAAAAACTGGTGCCTTTGGGTTAAGAGGAAGAAAGAAAAGAAACAATGAAAGCAAAGCCCTGCACATGTGGCAATTCCCAAGTAAGGTTTCTAGATCAAGAAGAGCAATGGTAGAATGCACCTTGCTCTCTAGGCATAGTTTTGAGGGAAGGCCAGAAAGGAAATGTTTTCCTACTGCATCTAGACAATAGATCCACTGATATTCATGCCCAAAATGTGGCATAGAAGTCCAGTGGCACCTCAGGACTTAAGAGGCCCTTTAAACATGGACAGAGAATGTCTAAGAAGCATCTAGCATACATCAATGAGTGAGGACCACCCTCCCAACATTCTCAAGTGCTAAACTGCCTCAGAAACTTGTTTGGATTGAGAAGATAGGAAGAGCCTCCAAAAGAACAGAGATTAAGTTGTGCTACCTTAATGGAATAAAGAATTAAAGTAGCATAACTAAGTATCCAGGCTGAAATATGTGTCAAGATAAGCAACAACCTTCATTCTTGCTAAAGCTAATTGGTATGTCCAATGTCTTGAACATTTCTTTGTTTGACCTCTCTGTTAGAGATGACTCAGTTGATGACTTTTTCCTTTGACACCTCTCTTCCTGCAGTTTGATACTGAAAAATACTGGTATTTGTACTACCTTCTTGGTTACTTCTTCATCTTTTGTATGGATACTATTGTTTTGTTTTTTCCTTATACTACTCATTCATTCATTCAACAAATATTTGGTCAACATCCACATGCACCTGAATGAAGCATATTTGGCTCTTTTCCCTTTAGAATTTATAGTGTAGTGTAACTTAGAAACTAAATCTGAACACAGACTGGGTAAGTAGGACCCAACCTGACGCTAGGCCAGGTTTGGGTCACATACACCCAGCCTGTTCCATCCATGAATACTGATTCAATGACCTGTTCTACAGTAATGATTTACACATCTCTAAACCAAGCCAGACATCTATCTAGTGCTTTGGTCACCTTTATGTATCTGCTTTCTAGATCTCTACTCTTGAATCCTTTAGCATTTCAAGATATATCTCAAACTGAAGATGTCAAAAACTGACCTGCATTTATTTTATGAATGGCATACTATCACCATGCTAAAAGCTTGACCTTTGTGTTACTCTTTCTTCTCATTTATTTTTCTCTCCTTTGTCCTCATCCTGCCAGTTTCTAAACACTATAGTGATGTATCTTATCTCATGAATTTACCCACAGGAACTCTTGCCTGGATTACTGAAACAGACACCTACCTGGTCTCAGTACTTTTAATTTTAGCTTACTTAAAACTTTTTTCACACTATAGTCAGAGTCATCTTTTTAAAAAGCAGCTCTAGTCAAGACTTTTTGTGTTTAAAGTCTTCAGTGATTTCCCCAATACTCAGGAAAAAGCCCACCCTTTCATATAATTCATGATTTCCTGCCTGATTTTATATGTCTAGACCTTCCCCGTCTTATCTTCTGCTACCCCTACCTTTGCCCTCTTATATAATTTCTGTACCATATGCACAGTTAAGTCATACACTTAATTTTTTTTCAGTCATGACCTGAATCTTGCATCCAATTCTTTGTATCCCTTAATTACTCCTATTTCCAGGAAGGAGTAATTAATTTTATTGTTACTACTTCCTCCCACTCTCATTTGGAAAATTAATTATCCTTCAAGGCTTGGTTAGAACTTTAGTTCTTCCCTCAGTAGAGGTCATGTCTCTCCAACATACTTCCATGATATATGGTACTTTTCCTTAACAACAATCCCATCATATTGTAATCCAGGTAGAGTATTGTTGGCATCTATTATGGGCCTTGGTCCTGTAAAGCCCAAATGTTGGGGGAAAAGGAAAAGCAGAGACAGAAATGTAGGTGAATACAGACAAACTGTGTCGCAGTCTTGTTGAGTGTCTTTATTTATTTATTTTATAAAATGTGGTGATATTTGTGTAAGCATGTAGGAATGTGGTTAAAGTCTCACAGTCAGAGATAAGCACCTTCAGAGTATACACTTTTAGGATCTTGTTGCTGTCATGTGTGACTTTGGTATACATGATGCACCAAGCCAACTTGCTTATTGGAAGATGTGCTGGCTTGTTGAAACTTCAGTGAAGGCAGTCTGGTTTACTTCAGAGAGAATACTGGGCAAGCCATAAATATTGTATCAAATGAGCATTGCATAACCTAGCCAGGGTCAGGATGTTTTCCGTGCCCCATGAATATTTTCATGGAGCCCCTTGTATACAAGGCATGTGTCAACTGGTTTGCAATGAAGTGAATAATGAGGCATTCTGAAAACTGCCTCCTGTTATAGGCTGCATACCCTCACAGAGTATAGTTTATCCAAGTGCTTGAAATGTTTTGAATGTTCAATTTTGGAATATCTGCGTCTATGTAATGAGATATCTTGGGATGAAAACTAAATTCCTTCATTGTGGTGCATCCTCTCCAACCCACTAAGGAATGTTAAATCGATGCAGCATTCCCAGAAAACAATGCAAATATAACATGCCATAGACACTCTGAAATATTTTCTTTCCATTTTTTTTTTTTGTCTGCATTAATACTATGTATGGTACTACTCATGAAGGAGCCCTTGGAAAACAGACAACCACCACACTCTCAAGTACAAGCAGTTGATTAACTACATGTTTTATCTTTACAATGGTATTGCATCTTATAGTCATTAACTAAATATTAATTGAACCTATATTCTACACATAAAATTGTAGTTCTAAATGGAAGGTAGATAAATAAGATATTCAAGACGACCTTTGCCAAAATAGTGTCTAATTTAAATTGGAACCAAGAGATACTAGTAAACTGTTAGTTGACAATCTTTGGGAAAACCTCACCACTGCTAATTGAAGTAGAGAAATAAATTTTAGTTTTTGCCAAAGACCCTCAGTGGTAGAAGTATTTAAATAAGTCAACATGTGTGAAATGATCTAATGTTGAAAATATTCTGCTTCTGCTTCATAATTAAAGAAAATGAAAAAAATTCTCAGAGGAAATAGAAAATTACGGGTTTTCTGCCAGCTTCACTAAGGCATAAATCTCTTAGTTTCTAACTAGACAATTGGTTATTTCATGTTATTACATAGCAACACTACTGTTCTAAGCAGTGAATGACTAATTAGTAAGGAATGGGGAATAATGTCATTTGATTTCAGGAAATCTCAGTAAAGCAAAGAAAATATGCTATATCCCAGTTGTAATTAGCATGTATAACATGCTAAACTTTCTTCTCCCTCTTGCCTGATTCCCCCCCACCAACACCACCATGGAAGGAAATATTTTATAAGGTGAAGGAAAGAAAATTAAGTCTCTTCAGCAAAGGTAGCATTTATTGAAGCTCTATCATCCATGTACTATCATGTTTAATTCTCAAGAACCCTGCAAGATAAATATCATTACTCTCACATTACAAATAAGAAACCAGTTTCAAAGACATTAAGCAACATGCCCAAGGCAGTCAGTCAGAATTTAAACTCAAGTCGTACTGCATCGAGTCATGCTCCCACTTACAGTGCAGAGTGTTTGATTCTTTATGTACAGGCTTGGCCTTGTTGAAACATTTTAAGAGACAAGTCCATGGACTTAGGCAGTATGTAGGACAAAGCGACCAATATGGCTAAGAGGCTGACTCTAGTCCTCATGGAGGAAAAGTATGTATAGTACATACACTTGACTTCTAATTCTGCTAAAAGCAGACATAGTAGTATATGCTGATGATGCTACTAACCAGGCTGAGGCTTCAAGAGAGGCATTGTTCAATTTCTGTCCTACCCTAAACGTTGGACAGAGAAATACACAATCTATAGTCCCAGCTACTTGCAGCTTATTTGGGAAACTGAGAAAGGAGGATCATGATAGCAATGTTGGAAGGTTTGTCTAAAAAGCAACAAACAAATAAACAAAAAAATCCAGTGTCTAGAAGGGATGGTTTGGTATGTCCTCATAGTATTAGTTGGTTTCTCTTGAAAATACTGGAGAAATGGGAAGAAAAGATCATTTATTTCCCTTTCACATCACAAATACCCATTGAGAGGAATAGCTCTTCTCCTTAAGTCATATAAGTATGACTTGATACTGTGTAAGAAATCTAACAGGATAGGTAAGACCATCCACATCTCTCTTAGGATTAGAGACATGTCCTTTCATGTTTCTTTTCTTGGTTCTCCTTTGGCTACAGTATAAACTCAAACTCTTGACAGTAGCAAATCTGTAGATAAATACTCCTTACCCTAGTCCATGTACTACCTAAAGACAGGAACAGTTCAGTATTTTCAAAATGTCTTCATACTTTTCTGCTTCTCTTTGTCTTTGCTCAATTTATTCCATCTGCTGAAAATGCCTCCTGCATCTGCTTCCCTGGTAAAACTCTTTTGGTTTGTTGCTAAAACCAGCTCAATTAATGTATTTCTGAAGAACCACTAGACTCTTTAGGCAAAATCCTTTTTTCCAACTTCTGAGCTCCTACAATAATATGTGTATGCTTTTGTTAGAATGTTAATATTATACCATGATTATTTAACTGTTTACATGTTTTAATCTCCTGAGTTATAATAATTTCTTATTAATCTTTCTACCTATGTTCAATAAATAAATGAGTAAAGTAATGTCCTGATTTATTAGGTTTCACTCTTTCTTCTATTTTATTTAAGTTGAGGTCCTATACTATATTTATCTTCTTTTCTTTTTTTTTGGTGATTTAATCTGAAGAGCTTTTGACTCCAGGGAAATATATAATTATATTCCAGAAGCCAAAAGAGAAGCAGCAGGAACAGAAG